CCTTTTTGTCGTAGCGTGTGTGTATGTGGCATCATTGTATACGTACACATCTACTACACATCTACAACCGTACCAGCCAGCACACTCGGTATATACTGGTGTGTGCTAGTCATGTGATAAGTAAATGTGGTCGGCTCTTACCATCTCAGCGAGTGCTGGTAGACGCGCGGTGCACCAGCCACATCTCGGAAAAGAGACTAAGAAGAAAGGCGAGGAAGAGTTAGATACACAGTTCAGGGCTACTCAGGTAGGTAGACAGTGTGATATGATAGGCTACTCAGGTAGGTAGACAGTGTGATATGATAGGCTACTCAGGTAGGTAGACAGTGTGATATGATAGGCTACTCATGTAGGTAGACTGTGTGATACAATAGATATGCGGCACATCTGGTGTGTGCATAACTGTTGTTTCTTATTGGGACTTGGTTTGTATAGTCGACACGGACGGCATTGGCGTATACGTTCTCTGGATGTCATAAAAGCGTATCACTTAAATGCAACTGTTATGTATTGTTTGATAGCGTAGTATCTAAACGTAACTTATGTATATCACTTGGGAGACGTGGTTCGTCAGCTAATGGTGGTTTGAAAATCAATGCTTTAGGACGCGTTCGGAGTCAGCCAAGTTTATGGTCTCTACATTTTATAGAGATAAGATGAGCACATACACTCCGCAGGAGTCGTAGATTGACCATAGCAACCGTATTGGGCATGCACATGTCTACGCTTACGCATTTGGAAACCAAAGTCTGGCCGCAAGACGATTCCTACTAGAGTGCGTCTGTATTTGTATCTGTAACTGTGACTTGGTGGTAGTATTATCTACTGATGTCGAGCGGCATCGCCTGTCTGTTTAGACAGACTGCCAATGACATTTGATTTGCTGCATCTCGATGGTTTAGGGTTTTAGGGTTTATGGTTTTTTTAACTACAACTCAATGATTTAACTGTGTGACTGCAGGCGAAAGGAGCCGTGGACGATATGGTGTTGCTGGGCGATGTGAGTCAGAAGGGTATTGAGAAGAACTTATCCGAACGCTATTTTGAAGACAAAATCTATACTTACATCGGACCAGTGCTGATTTCAGTCAATCCTTACAAAAGGGTATGTTATATATATATATATATATATATATATATATATATATATATATATATATATATATATATATATATATATATATATATATATATATATATATTATTATTATATATATATATATATATATATATATATATATATATAT